CTTCGAATGCGATACCGTGCAAGTTGGCACAACCTCTGTGAGAGCTGTATGAATTAATTAAAGTTTGCATATATATTTTGATGGTTGATGTCACGGGTCATACGATTTATCGCAGGCCTTGGCAGTGTGACCGCGTGGCAAAAGCCATAATTGAAAAGACTTGAATTTCTCGAAAACTGTGGGTTTGAATTGCCTGAAATTTATTTAGAAATTAGCTTTAATGATGCCCCTTCGAATGCGATACCGTGCAAGTTGGCACAACCTCTGTGAGAGCTGTATGAATTAATTAAAGTTTGCATATATATTTTGATGGTTGATGTCACGGGTCATACGATTTATCGCAGGCCTTGACAGTGTGACCGCGTGGCAAAAGCCATAATTGAAAAGACTTGAATTTCTCGAAAACTGTGGGTTTGAATTGCCTGTAATTTATTCAGAAATTAGCTATAATGATGCCCCTTCGAATGCGATACCGTGCAAGTTGGCACAACCTCTGTGAGAGCTGTATAAAGTTATAGAAAGTTAGCGTCGAATGATTGTCATGGCTAAGCTGTTTACATTGTGGTTTATGTCTTAGTATCCAATGGTTCCGTTTCTGGATTAAACGGCCTTTTAATAACCTTTTTAACACCCCCAACTGTTAAGCAATTTTCTCAAAATCTGTGGGTTTGATTTTGATAAAACTTTCACAGAACAGTCCCTAGATTATCCCCTATCTACCCATATACCGTGCATGTTGGCACAACCTCTAGGAGTGGAGCAGTAGGTAATTTCATTTTTGCCCCTCTTTTTTGTATGGGGAAAATCCGAGGTTGCGGTACTGTTAGGCTTTTTTCTCGAAAACTGTGGGTTTGATTTTGATGAAACTTTCAGACAAGGAGCTTGAATTAACCCCTTATAGCTTAGTTTATCGTGCATATTGGCACAACCTCTGTGAGGGGAGCAGTTAACAAAATTGTGGGGACACGATTTTTCAAATGCATTTTTGAAATACTAATAGGCCTCGTATGTGTCCCAAACCTACCTAGCTCGATAGATCTTTTCTTTCTTAACAATCTAGCATTTTAAATTTTTCGATTTGGTCCCCAAATAGCGAGAAAATTTAAAAATAAAAAGGGCCCCATGTTCCATATTCCACCGTTCCCGTTTTCGTTGCTAACAGGCCGACGCTAATTTGACGCACATTAAAACTAATTTCCTTTCCAACGAGGCGCTGTGCATGTTGGTACAACGTCTGTGAAAGTCAAATTAACTAAAAAACACATGGTTAGTGTCCTGAGTACATTTTTTACATAGTGGTTCCTGTCTTGGAACTTTCTGCTTCAAATTTGTATGGGGAAAATCCGAGGTGCATTCACTGTTAAGCGATTTTCTCAAAAACTGATTCAAGAAGCTTGAATTAACGCCCAATAACAAAGTTTACCCTGCATATTGGTACAACCTCTGTGAAGGGAGCAATAAACAAAATTGTGGGGACCCGATCGATTTTTAATAGATTTCTAGAAATCGGATATGGTTGCAAACTATCTAGATCGATATATATTTTCATTCTAAACAATTCTGTACTTAATACTTTTCGATTCGGCCCCAAGAAGTCGAGAAAATCAAAAAATAAAAGTTTGCCCAATGCATTTCGGTCTGGCAACGCTTGATTCTTTTAATTTGACACAAATCTGGCCACCTGAGGGCGTTTTCTACTTTTGCTTTGCTTTTATACATTTCATTTACATTGGCACGTAAAGTTCATGTAAATCTTTACAATTTACATCTTTACAATTTTACCTGTATTTTACACACCACATTTAAATATCTTAAGCGACATCTAGTGGTGGTTTTATAACCTTTGAATTTCATCAACAGGTGTCTCTGGGTGCTTTAAAAACATTTAAAAACATATCGTTATATTGATTTTCAAATCTTCATAATTGTTCAATGAAAAGTATACAATTACTTCTGCGGGGTTGCGGGCTTAGTCCTTACATCAACATAATTTCTACCCGAAACTGGTTTAAATCTTTCAGATTTAATTTCTTGGACACATTTACTTTCGCTCGAATGTCTTTTCTTTCTAATACATGGAGTGTTATCACAGGCTATTTTCAATCAATTCCAGTTTTTCTACTCCACATACGGCTGGATGTCGCGCTGCTGGCGAGCAGCCTCCGTTTCTGCCCCCACGGCGCAGGCCAGCAGTGAGTTGACCATCTGCTCCTCCCCCGCCTTGTAGACGTAACCGTTGGCCTTGTCGATGTGATTGCGGAGGCGCAGCATGCTGTCCGTACTGAAGACATCCAGCAGTTGAAACGAAACGAGGGCGTAGTCCTCCACCATGGAGCAGATGGCTGCATTCAGCTTGCGGTGTTTGCGCATGGTGGGATCATCGTCCAGCTTATCCAGCAGATACTTGAGGTCCAGGACGTCCGTGTAGTAGTCCACGTTGAAGTGCAGCTTGGCCTCGTGCTTCCTTAGCAGATCGGCCTTGGACAGGACATTCACGTGGGGCAGACTCATTCGTAGCATGGTATTTAACGCCATCAGCAGGGTGGCTATGAATTTGGCAGGCTCCGAGCAGTAGTGCGAATCGATAAGGTTCACGGTGACCAGGCTGTATCGCTCCCGCTCCAAACGTTCGAAAACCCGGGCCATGGCGGTGTGATGAGTATAGAGCTCAATTTGCCCGGGGCAGTCGAACAGGAAGTAGTTGTAGGTGGCGCCCAGCTTGCGCAGTGCCGGCAGCAGCCAGTCCTCCAGGTGATCGGCCAGATATTCGGCGCAGTGCATCAGAGCTCCGTTGGGGCCCAACTTCAGGTGCTCCATGCAATCCTCCACGGTGATTAGCTCCATCACACTGAGCACCGGCTCGTAGGACATGTTCTCATTGGCCGGGTCCAGATTCACAACGCCCACCTGGCGGCCCAGTTCGCGGTAGAACTTCAAGGCTTCGGCGCAATAGGTGGTCTTTCCGGAGCCAGGAGGTCCAATGATCAGCTGTCCGTAGCGGGGATTCTCCACCGTCGGCTGCGTAGGGAATCTTTGCAACATTTTTGAGGCAAAAAGTAAACAAAAAGTAGTGTGACCAGAGTTATGTCACCGAAAAATGCACACTCACAAATGAATAACCATAGTTTTCCACGTGCACCGTTAAAAATATATTTTATTTAATAAATTATAAAATTGTTGCATTTTTATTTTAATAAAATTAAATATATTTTTTATATTTATTTAAATATATACACTGCCTATTTCATACATTTGTGTTGCTAAATTTATAATTGTTTGCTATTTTTTAGCGTTTAATATGAAACGCCTCAAAGTGGTTCTATTGAATTACCTTTAGTTGACAAAATGGTAGAACCTACAATATTTGTAAAATAAGGCTCGGTAGATGCAAGCTGTGGTATTAGCTGACCAAACTGAACAATTTTTTTATACCCAAGGCGCATTTAAAAATTCCTTCTTTTTGATCAGACCGAAGATACATGTGTACAACATTTTACCAAGCGTCAACAAACAATTTATTTTGATGTATTTAACATAATAATTACTAATTTACACAATTCCTTCAAGAATCAAATTTGAGAATCAAATTATTTGCTGAAAGTAAAATAGGAAAAATGTCATTATTAGTCGTAACTAAAAATTAAAGAATTTCAAATAGAAATTTGGGGTACGGCAAATCGAAGCCCTAGTGCAACATGTACAATTTGTCATTGAAGGCAGCATAATTATAATTGTTTTTGCAAGCACCAAATCTGAACGTAAAATCGTAATAAAAAAACAGCTCGACCGGGAGTCTAATTTTTACTCCTTCCACATACATATTTAGCTTGAAAAACAATGTTTTAAAAATCAAAATTAACTTGCAGCGGCTTTCTTAGCCTAAGCGAAGGCGATTCATAAATGCGGGTAGCTGTTTACAAAAGCATGTTGATTTACAGCGTTAAGAACATAAGTTTCTAATGGCTTTGACAGAATTTTTTATGCACATCAAAATAAAAGATCAACTACGACTATAATTTGGGATTTTATATGCCAGCATTTTAGTGCGAGAGCTATAAATAACTAAGTTTAGAGGAACCTGGTCTGAAAGTATTTCTCATCGACGAAGCGACAGAACTCGACCAGGTGCTTGAACTTTTGCACCGTCTGTGCCAGCGCCATGTTGGGCAGCGTGGTGGTGAGGATGCTGAAGAGGTGTCCAAAGGCGATGGCGTCCAGTTCGCAGGGCTGATCGCCGTAGAAGAAGGGCGTTTCGGGTGACTCTTTCAGCTTGTACTCGAGGGTCTCGCAGCACTTGGCCACCTTCTCGATGACGCTGTCGATGTCCAAGTCGTCCCACTGGTAGACCTTAAGCAAACGCAGAGCGTTTCGCCGCTTTCCATAGTTCTGCATGTGGTTGAGGGGCCAGGGAAAGACGACGCCGTTCCTGGGAGCGGTCACCTCCTTGTACACGCGCTCATTCTTGAAGCTGATATACAGCTCCGCCATGGTGAAGATGTTCTCCACCAGGGACACATAGGTGCGCATATCGGCCTTCTCGTCCTCGTCCTGCCAGCTGCCAATGGCCAGATCCTTCTGCTCCACAAAGTTCACAATAGGTTCGAATTCCGCAAAGATGAATGCCCCAGCACGGATGAAGGGCAACTTGGTCATCCTGCCGCCCGGGGACATGTGCTCCGCGTTGGCGCAGGAACGGATCCCAAAGGGCAGGTTGCACATCTTCAGGTAAGCCTTAACCGCCAGGCAACTAGCGTTCTCCGGCAGCAGGATTTGCTCCGCTTCGTAGGGCTTTTGGATCGAGATGGGGTGGAAATGGAGTACTGAAACTGAGGGAGCTGGACTACTTGGTGACCGTTCTCACCTGGTATAGGGTGGCATCTTCGGACCACGGCTCGGCGGCCAATTTGTCGGCCGTATGCAGTTGGCTCAAGAATTGGGAAGTCATTTTCAAAAAAATTCCACACAAAACTCGCCGATGAAGTAATAAACAGCTGTTTGTATAGACGTTGCCAGATGGGAAAACTATCAAGCCGACAGTGCTGCCAGACTATTGATGTTTCCATTGAAATCACTTTATTTTTGATTTTTATATTGATATTAAGTCATGGCGATCTTAAACAGATAATCTTATGGCTAAACAGCATTAATGCATTACAAAATGGTTTCAAGATTTTTAACAGAACAGAAGAACTTACGTTGGTAGCACTTAAAACTAATAAGTTAAAGTAAAAAACGTGTTAGCACAGCCACTTCTCCTCGCTTTCAGAGTTTTGGCCTAATTAGCATTTTGCACGATTTCAGCGAAATTTGTTGGCTCAGATTCCAACGACCCCACCATATTCCATTCCAAGTTTCCAACACAGCTTTGGACTTGTTGTATGTTCCATTCAAATTACTGAAAAAGTAAACATTTTTTAGAATGAAAGGTAAGAATGGTATTCCAGCGTGTTCAAAAAATATTTAAAGAATAAATAACGTACTAAAAGGTTAAAGGTTTCTGATACACCCTTTTAAATATTTTTCTTACCAATCTTTAAAGTTCCACCAATTACGATATCTCATATTAAATTGAAAAACTTCATTTGTATGACTCCGCAAAGCATCGCCTGCATTTCCCGAGTATTCACCCAGAGACTTTAGAGTATACCCCTCTTCCTTGCTTCCAACAACAAAGTGATCGTATCGTGCAAAGGCTCTAGCATCGTCAAAATCGACTAGTTCAATGCATAGTTCATACCTACGATTTGCAGTCAACCTGTGCACTTTTTCGAGGCCTAGCCATAATTCTCCTGCTAGATCACCAAAACCTTTTACATACAAGCCAAAAGTATTTTCAAACGAGAGTTCTCCATCGATACGGCGCTGTATAACCATCCAGTCAGAGCCAGCACAGGGAATATCTTCAAAAACTGCTAGGAAGGGCTCAAATTTAGGAAGCGTGACCAATTTTACTGATGGAACTTTAGAGCAGTTGAGAAATATTTGCGATTCACTTTGGCTTTGACTTGTTTCGGTATATAGGGTGATTTTAGATAATTTTTCATTCAATTCGTTTATCTTCTCTTCATCGTTTTTGATTTTCGACTCTAGCTGGGTTATTTGATTTTCCTTCTCTGACAGATTAGCTTCACATATTTGGGTTTTTCTGTTTAATTCTTCAAGCTCTTCATTCTTTTTATGAACTAAACACTCTAGCTTTATGATTTGCTTTTTCTCTGTAGTGTTATTTTGGTTATTATGGGACTCCCCCTCAAAGTTGATATGTTTTTTTTCTTTGTCAGAGTCTATAAGGCCGGATGATTCCTTATCTTTATTTGAAATCTGACTCTTGCTCAAGTCAAGCGCATTTTCAAGCTCGATAATTTGATTTTGCATTTGCTTTATGTTTAAGTCTTTGTTTTGAACAACCAGATCGATCGACATACGCAATGACTTTATTAAGTCGTCCTTATAATGGGACTTTTCTTTTTCACTTGCCAAACGCATTTCCAGATCATTTATTTTGGTTTTATATTTTTTAATAATTTTCTTTAGTCCTTGGATGATTCTGTTTTGGTCGATTGGCTCCCAAGTCGTATCTTCAGTATCAGAATCGCTACTGAGCTGGATAAAAGACTGTAAATGATCTTAGTGTTTATGGATTGCTAAATGTTACTTACCGAATTGTTTTCAGTGATTGAGTCCTCGCATGATCGAGGTTTCTCTGAGAGATTGTTTAAGTTATCAGGTTTCATTGTTCACTAAGTAACTAACTTTTATAACATTAACACAGTACTTATGCTTCAATAAATATGATAGTTGCAGTGCGACTTTATATAAAAATTTTAATATATGCGAAAAAACGTGAAATATTCGTGGCGTCACCAGAAACTGTAAAAATGGAAAGAACAAATTTGCTCAGCCTAAAGTGTGACCAGCTTCTGACGACATAGAGGGGATTCTTGAAAAAAAAAACAATGATACTTGAAGGAGTATCCACCTAGTTTAACTTGAGTTTTCATTATTTCACCAATCTATATAATAAAATCAAAGAAACACTCAATTCTAGGCAGGCAGTGTGAAAGGTTGCCTTTTCCTATCCCTTTTTCGAGGCGTTTTGGTATTCTGCGCCGAAAAGCCTGCGTTCACACTTACAATTCTTATTTCGCCGAGTGTTTTTCGTTAAAAAGTTTTTGTTTAAAAGTTAGTAGGACACACATTGTAAAAAATAAACCGATATTAGTTGCATTATTCAAAAATAACACACTTTTGAGGACAACTCAGTTTTTGAATAATTTTGCATATTAGAAAGGTGAGTGCGCGTCGTCTCTGGATTGCGAGAGTGTGTGTGTGCTGCGTTCCAATGCATGTTATTAGAACTAAACTCAAATTTAAATATAGTAATTGAATGTCAGTTAGAGTTATTAGCTAATATTTGTGGTTATCTGCTGGCCAAGGAACCACTCCCAAAAAATATACTTGAAAATCAGTGACGATTCATGTGCCGGTCTCGGTGTGAGTGTGTGTGTGTGTGCGAGCTGGTGTGTGTGATTCATACGTCTGGGGTCTTAAGATTCTTCGTGCACATTTCTTTATCAAAAAAAAAAAAAAACTGGCATGGTTCGTACTTTTTCCTGAGTTATCCCCACACTTTGGCGGGGGGTCGTCCATCTCTCTCGCTCTTTCCTTCCTGTCTCTCTCACTCTCCCTTCGATTCTCGCACTTTGTTTGGAATTCTAAATTTCTGTTTGGTCAGATTTGTTCTTGAAATTACCTTTTCTCACCCAACCTTAATTATTCCGATTGTATTTATTGGCCCAAACTTTCGTTGTTAGTCCGAAAAATGTTTATTATTTTTTTTGCTATTCCCACACATACACAGAGAAAAGCATTTAGGGGAATTTCGAAATCTATCTGATCGTCAAAACAATTTATTTAAGAATGTAAAAATGCTCATCAATTTTACATGATTTAGTTTATTATTAACTATTTTTTTTGCTTATGCTAAAAGTTGTTATAGAGTTTATTTAATTGGTATGTGTAGATAATCCATAACCATCAGAAAAATAATATTATTTATATGATCGTATATTTTTATAAGAGAATTTTAAAAAAATTACTTCGTATATGCCGAATATAAATGATAAAAACAGAATCATATATAGATCTTTATTATAACTTTTCTGTGTACACATGTGCCTGCAAAAATCGTTTGTATAGATACATTTTTATTATCTCACAACAACTTGATGTCAAGTAATAACATTTCAATTTCATGTACATTTTTTTGCACTAGCTGTTATACTATATATAAGGCCAAATCTGGAGAACCGAGAATTATTATTGGGCCAACATTCGTTGAAAATGGACATAAAGCCAGCGACGTGTATTTAGATAATGGAAAACAAAGCAAGATAATAATAAAGGCCCTGGCGGGGGCGGAGGGCTCTCGGTTTTTGTCGCCCGTTCTGGTCAATACTATTCAATGCCGATATCCGCTCTTTCGCCCTCTCTCTGGCTATCGAATGCTCTTGCCTTATCTGACTCGCCGTATTTGGTTGGACCTTTTTTATATCCCGAGCGGACCAGCTGCAAGTCGACCGCCCCTTTGCCCCGCCCGCTGCCAATCAACACGTCAGTTCATCAATGCGTTAATAATTGAAATTTAATCAATATTATTGAACGGGCATATGAAGTGGCTAACATTTGTTCGTTGGTTTGGCCAAAAAACGAATAAGCCCACTCGATGTTGACTGAATGATAACGCAGTCAGATATGCTAAGTATTGAATACGTTTTGGGGTTTAGAACATTTCAATGTTCGATACCACTATGTATTCACGTTTCGGATCTCTGTAGTAAAGAAATAGTATATATTTGGAAAACAATATTCGAAATAATGATTACTCTTGAGTTTAAAAGTTAAAAAACAACATTTTATTAATTTGAATACGAGTTTAGGCGTTGTGCAGTCATAAGTTCAAATATTCTAGGTGTCACAAAATAAGAAAAATAGAGTTTTTCCCCAATCGTTTGGTCCAGGAATTCTTTATTTCGATAGGATGTGCAGCAGGGGAATAGCACATACTTTTATACGTAGGCATATATATAAAACAATATCATTATCGTCAACATGTTACTCACACTACTAAAAATATGCTTATGACCCACATGCTTCTCCCAGAGCAACAGAGAAACACTAAACAAAAACTCAAGCAGCCATTTAACAATAGCACCAATAGAAATTAAGATCGGTGCTACTCATTAAAATGTAATTGATTGAAAAGTAAACAGTTCTGCTTGGACAGTTCTAGGTTCTACATAGCCATGGCCGAAACAGAGACGAAGCCCCATCCCGAGCACCACGATGAGGATGTCCATGATGCCAACTACCAGGCGCCGCCGGAAAAGACTATCGAGGAGATAATGGCCGCCGATCAGGAGGACGAGAGCTTGCGTCGCTATAAGGAGGCACTTTTGGGCGCAGCCCAGACCGAGAAAATTATCGTTGGTAAGGGAATGGCTTGTTAAATATAATGAGAACAATATAAATACCTTAACTTCATTTTTCAGAACCTAATGATCCCCGAAAAGTGATCGTGAAGAAACTTGCCCTCGTCGTAGAAGGACGCGATGACATGGAATTGGATCTTACCGGTGACCTTACTCAGCTCAAAAAGCAGGTTAATTATTATATCCATTTAGCCACTTTATTATTTCCATTAATTTACCATAACTTAACAGCTTTTTGTGATCAAAGAAGGTGTTCAGTACAAGGTGCGCATTGATTTTATTGTGCAACGTGAAATTGTCCATGGCCTTAAGTATGTGCAAAAGACTTCTCGCTTGGGAGTTAATGGTAAGTGTTAATATTACCCACTACATAACATATTTGTTGGTATTTGGTTGACACAAAGTTCCATTGATAGTCCTTAAATCAGATTTTTAGGTTTTTTCACTATTGGCAACAATTAAGGTCAAGGTTTATTTGAATGTATTGCAATCTAACCAATTTCGGTAAATACAAAAAAGAATAAAAAAAAAAAGTGGCCCGGGCAACATTGTTTGCTATTGGGGTTTTTCTATGCCTTACACGATTTAAGCACTTTTGGGACTTCAATTTTCTAGAGGCCGAAGCACAATTGTCAGTTTTACACCTCAGTTCTCGATAGACTTTTGTGCTGGCTAGTAGAATTTTAAGTTCGAAATGGGAAATCGCTGGTTTGATGGCACGACCCTATTGTTGGGATTTTGCGGAGCTGTTTATATATTGTTTTTCACTTTTGCTATAGTTACTTTAGTCATGTGTTGAGAATAACTTGTATAAACATCCTATTATCTTTAATGCCAAACTCTAATTTCGGATTATATGATTTTTTAAGTTGTGGGTAAGCTGGCGCTGGATGCACAATAATGTTATAAATTACTAAAACGAAAATATTTGTATCATTCTCTAGTTGACAAAATGAAGCATATGGTTGGCTCCTATCCGCCGAAGAAGGAAATTCAATTTTATTTGACGCCCGCCGAGGAGGCTCCCTCAGGCACATTCTCCCGCGGCACCTACTCGGTCAGTTCGGTCTTCACGGATGACGACAAGCATATACACCTGGAGTGGGACTGGACCTTTGAGATTAAAAAGGACTGGGCCTAAAAAGCACATCAAATAGCACACACACACACACACACACACACACACACGACATACGCTTTTTGTTTTCCCCAACATGTCTTGTAAATGAGTTTATTTTTGTTCCAAAAGTGTAAGCGAGATTTTCCAAAATGTAATTGATCGTCAAGTATTTTCGTTAACGGTATTAAATTTAAAATATTTTTGTATCTAAAGTGTAATGAAAAACCATGATAAGTATTTTTGATACCCATTGAATACCTAATTGAATGTGTGCATATGAAGAGCATTTCTCGCCTAAGTCCTCAATAAGACGGCAAGTCGATCAGTCATGTCAAATCCAAGTCAAGTCACTAGACCAGTCAGTCAGTCGTTTGGTTCTAAATGCCATTGCCTATGTTTAACATACATCTTCAAACAGATTAACCTTGAGTAACAAACTTTAAGAAAGTTGTTTGCATTTTGCTATGTATTTAAAATGAATGAACGGAAAGGTTTATGTTTAATGTAAGATCAAGTCGTCCCCCCCAACTTTAAGCAAACAATACCCAAAGATGATTTACTCACCGTAACCATCCAACTGAAATCATGCAATTCGAACTGTTAAATGTAACTAAAGCTGATACTTAATAATGCATTTGATGTTTGTGGAGCATGCAAACACGGAAATCTACATTATTCGAACTATATACTATCTCTGTGTATTTTTTGTGTACAATATATGCGAATGCTGATTGAATGCAACCGAAGAGCAATAAAGAATAAAATATACATATTTTAAAATCAGAGATTGTTTCTTTATAACTTGGGATGATTGTATAATTTTTTTTTTGGTAATAATAATGGCGAATAAATCTTAGTGACGTCCTTAGCACTGATATTTCCTTAGTTAAAGATAACTTACCTTTTTCACACATTATAATGCTTATCAGTTCACTTTGTCAAGGGGTAAACGTCATAAATTGTGGCCAGAAGGCAGCGGCACAAGGAATTACTCTTATGCCATGTGCGCCACTACAAATATTTTCTCAAGGTGTATGAAAGAGAGAACCCAAAAAACCAGAGAGATACGTTCTCTGTTTACATTCGACTCTGTCAACACGATTTCCAGTTTTTGAGGCCGGCCTGTTGCACTTAAACTTGTTGCTCAACATTTGCGGAAAATAATATCTACATTTTATATTCAAATGCTCATTTGTCTTCAGATTCGCGAAAACCTGCATGAATAAGTAAACTGTTTTGTGGTTCCAGTTGCCAGAAGGAAAACTGAATAATTTAAGAAAAACAACACAAATATGTTGGGGGAAAGCTTGGCGCATCCATGTTGTTTGGGAAACCTTAGCGATTGTCATTAAAAAAGCGAGTAAAAACAATTCGTATTTATTTGCTTGATTGTTTTCATTACGTGAGAAGTAATTACAGGATAAAAAAATACTGGAACTTCAAAAACTTGAGCGTTTTGTAATGAAATTGTGTATACATAAAATGTTCAGAAAACAAAATTTCGATTATAATTTAATTTATTTTATTTAAAACAACCATAGAATATTAGGAAATGCTATTTTTCCTAGATACTTTGCACTTAAAAAGGTTAAAATCTTAATCGAATCCATCAATACCTTAGTGGTATTGGAATCCATTGAGAATGTTATAGGATATTTTGATCGACAGTCAAATGATTGATGTGAGCACTCCAATTTTCAGTTTAGACTTAATTCAGCATCCCAATTCACGAGTTCAATTCGTTTCCTGCTAATTTAAGCTTTTTGAAATGCCAATATTTTAGCATCCAGCACTCACGTCTATCCCTGTCCGTCGAGGATGCTTTGATTGACGGACGGGACGTCGAATTTTAACCTTCACCCGCATTGTTCATTCCGATGCCAATGTGGCCTTTTAACCCGATGCTCGCAATTGTTCGCATGGTCCATTGCATCCGGGGATAAGGTTCAATGAAATTTGCAGGAAAAAAACCAAACGAATGGGGAAAAACAAAAGCTGCTAGAGTGGGGATAATAAAGTAGAAAGGAAATGAAATCAAAAGAGGAAACCAGAAAACGCAACAGGCTAAGTGCACACACACACACACACACACTGTAACGCACACATGCACACGAGGGCGGAAATGCGAATGGCGGCCATTTTGTCCGCATGTAGGCAGTGCTGAAAAAGGTGCCATTTTTATTTTACCACAGTGCACACTGCCCAAGTCAACCGATTTATAATTAAATAAAATTTGTAATTCAAAGATTGAAAATATAATACATCATTTAATATGATACATCTTTAAAATGTAATATTTTAAAATCTTAAAACTAAATAACTTTCAGAACATGCTGAATTTAAGTATACCAGAAAATAAGGGTGTTAAAAATGTTACAATGAAATAAAATTATTTTTTAGTTGACATCTTAGTTTATATTAAATATTATATTACCTGGATAATTATTACCCTATCTACCACTAGGCTTATTGGCATCTGCTGCACTGCAAATGGCTGAAAAAGCCATGAAATGCAGCTGATGTCAAGCCATATAAACTTTTCTGCAAAAATGCATATTTAATCTCTAGGATGGTTATACATGCTCTGCTAATGGGCTTTGGCTGTTTGCATATATCCAACTGGCACTTTGTGTGCCATTTAAAAATGTTAAATCCTCACACATATGTATTTCAAAACTACATTTAGGGAATTTTTTTTATTAACAGGTTAGGAGAATTTTCATAATCAAAATACACATCCAAAGGATTTTAGATCAAATGGCAATAAGCCGGAAAACAAAGCATTTATCCACAAAATATGCATAACTAACAATGAAATTAAACCCGGTCATGTGGCACAATGAAATTTTCGTTGGGCAAAATTCAATTAGTTTCATTTTAGACCTGTTGTATGTGTGACTCACCTTTATTGGATTTCCTCTGCCACTATGGCAAGTTTTGCTAAGCCTATTTAAACATAATTAAATCTAACAAAGATTTGAGCAACTTTTCGGTTTCTGCTGGTCTCTAATTTAGTATGCGGGTCAGCAAACGGAGAAATGTGAGAAAGTTTCTCCCTGTTTTTGGCCACAGGCGCATACGGGGCGTATGATGAATTTTATTTAACATTCGCTGGGTATTTCGGTTGAAAATAGAATGGAAGCAACAGGGGGGCAGCCTATTGTTTTCAATTTAATATTTTCTTTAATAAAATGTGTATAAGACTGCAAAATTAAAATTAAAGTTCCAAAAATGGAATGAATTTTCAAAATTAAATGCACATTTTTTCAAGCTTTTTAAATATAACTCTGAATAAATTTAGTTAACTGTTTTCTTGAAATCATACAAGGCAAGCCATTTTTCTATTACACCGTTTTTTCTGCCTTCACTCGTAAATTTTATAAATCGGTCTTTTTATTACTTTAATACTTTTGTGGCTTTCAGCAAGCACACGCAGGTTAAGCAACTTTAACGGGGAGTGTCGAACACGTCAAAAACTGAGGAGTTAGTCATCAGATTTATGCGTGGCCGGCAGGACATAAAAACCAAACACAAACACCCACAGTTGGCATACATTTTTTCAAAGCTCTACGGTTTTATTTAGCTTTTTATGCTTTTGCCCCCACCGGACAGCAAAAATAATTTGCGTTTATATTGAATTTGTTTTTTGTGGGGCTCTCTGCTGGAGATTCAGTCCGAAGTTGGCAAGAAATTGCATGATTTCTGAATATATTTATACAAGCGGACTTGCGGTGGGCTCCTCATTTACATTTCGACATTGATTTTTGCTATTGGCAATCAAAGTTAGTGTCCGTAACTGGGATTTTTTTGGAAGAAAAATCTGTGGGAAAGGTTTGATTTTTCTACAGGTGTGTGGCTTTAGTGTCTAAATATTACCCCTTATAATTTCTATAATTAGAGGGAAATGTGAGTTTTAAGTTTGTTCGTTAGAATAATGAAAAGATATGTACCAGTTCCTCAAAAACACTACTATTCATCTAAGTATATTTAAAAAATAACAGCCCTAATATAAATTTATACTTTACAAGCCAGTGTTCATTATGGTTTATGGCGTGTACCCGGAATATGTAATATGAATTCAGGCAATTAAACCCTAATTCCAAACTTATTAGACTGTTCTGCTCAAACTTGCAGGCGAATGTGGCGAATATCAAGGGACACAGCATACTTTCCGGCGCTTTAAAGGACGATGTCAACAAGCTGTTGCCGCCCCACACGAAAACACACATACTTTCCAACGCCGGTTAATTGTCTACCAAAGGACACAGATCCCGAGGCAGCCCGGGTTTATTTTTGTTGCGAATTCTGTTGACTTTGCAGTTCTGTAATTAAGTCGAGCGCACTAATTAAGGAACATTTCGTAATTAGGCTTTATGTCATAGCCAACTGCTGACTTCTTAGCCATTTGTACGCCTTAACCAAGTATGTGAAAAATTTAAACAATCTTTGACCTTGCTGTTGCTAAAATTGATTTTCCCTCACAAAAAAAGCCCAGGGGAGGCCATTAAAAATGAAAAAAACGTTAGTAGCTATATTGACTATGACCCCCAGCAAATGGCATTGACTGACATTTAATAGCCGTTCATTAAATTATCATTTACTTGTTTTACTTTCATGGTGCACACCAATGCCGAAGAAAGTCAAACCTTGAAAATTATTTATGGAAAGAAGAAAGGGGAACGTTTTCATATATGATGAAGCTTACCACATAAATCAAAGACTTTAACTAACTTGCTAATATAA